GTCCACATCTTGGTGCGACCGCTATAAAGAATATCGGTGGTGTCAAAACGCGATATATTTTGTGTCTGCATTGACACTGACAATGCACTGACTGTGTTTCATAGTGTTGACTATATTTCGTGTATTTTTATCACTTTATTTCGCAGATGGATTTATGATATTATCTATTTAATTACATGGGTGCCAACGTGCGCGTGTTCAGTGCATCAGTACAGTAAAGAGATAAACGCTGCTCGGACCGAATAATCTGATATATAATAGATAATATTTAGTAATCATTGTCCCAAGTAATTATTCAAAATAAAGTTAGTTAGAGCATGATTGCCATGCAGCAATGTCATAATACGTGTCAAAAAATTCTAATTCATTGTGTTGTAAATATGTTTAAATTGCTTTAATTGCTAATTATTGTAGGTTTCTCGATTTATGTGTTATATTTGTGTTTTAATATAATGTTATTGCTGCAAATAGAACAATAAGTATTTCCAATGATTTCGTATACCTTTTCGAATATGTTAAAATGTAATGAATTACTTACTCGCTTATTAGATGAGACACAAATGTGTATAAAGTCGTACATTTTAAAATGGTATCAAGATCACCGTATCAATGAATAATGACAAGTTTAATTCAATTCGTGTCACCTACGATTCTCCGACTGCCTCGTGCTTCCCTTCGAAACAGCTTCAAATCACTTTAGTAACTTGTCAACCATTAGCCAATTACAATAGAGTATAAGAGACTTTGAGGCGTTGCCTCTAAACAAACAGCCAATCACACGAAAGTTTTACACATCGTAACACAATTGATTAATCGTCACTATATTAGGAAAATCACTATCATAATGTCAACGTCAGTTTATATTTATGGACGCTAATGGTCTTGCAATAACATTCCACAATTGACATCAATATACATCATTAGTTCTGGACTAAGACCAAGATACCGCATAAGCTTGAAATCGCAAGCTCACGAGAACGTGTCGACGGATCTCAGCCAGTCCTGCCATCTGGCCTCATCATTTAACCTTTATCAGTAGATGTCATGGCAACCACCATTAAGCCGATATAAATCAT